AGTTAGGTGTGTGTGATTCTTTGAAGAGAAACACATCATAGATCGGGAAATTGTATCACTGAGACACATTGAGTGGTATATAGTAAACCCACTCTATCTTTCCAGAGGCCAAGGAGTGGCACAGGTGGAGACAGCCTCTGTTGGCCTTTAGGGAAGATACTTTCTTAATTATCCTTTAAAAAAAGGACCAGAGAGAAAACCCATCAGGTAAAATGTTTGCATGGGGCTTACCCTGGCACCCATATAGGGTCCCTAGCATCCTGCCAGGAGTGATTCCTAAGCTCAGAGCCAGGATTGGCCCATCCCATTCCCCCTCTCCCCACTACACACACACACACACACACACACACACACACACACACACACACACCCACCCACCCACACACACACCCCTCACAAGGCTAAAAAAGAAAGGTCTTAAGTAACCTTATGAAAATACCGTATAGGACCATTTGGTTATGGGAATAAAAATAACTTATAAAAATAGGAAAACTAATTTAAGGCTTTCAGAAAAACCACTTATATTTTTCTTGACCAATAATTTTGTGAAAAAAAAAGTGAGATTTTAAAATGAGGTCACAAGAGACTTAGCCTGAGGACAATGGACTTTGGTGCCAAAGATTAGCCCAGATTGTGTTCTTGGCACTATTCTGAGTATAGTCCGATGTCCTGTTGGAATATTGTCAGGTATTTTTGTACTGCTGTGTGAACAATGCTGATTCGTGATCAAACTAATGAAGTACTTAAATGTGTTGGTCAGTTACCTTGCTGGACTTTACAGATCCCTTGCTCTACCTTTGGGAGATGCCTGCTTTGGTATTTTTGACTACACAAAAGCTTTGCCCTTCTTGATCTGTCTTGAAGAATGGAAATTGAAGTCTATCAATTGGAAAGGACTTATAATGAAAACAAATGCAAAGTTTGGGAACTTTAATGTACCACTTCTTTGTTGTGAATTTGCTTCACTGTGGCCTAAGGTGAATGGAGGCCTTTGTTTTGCCTTATCCAAACTGTTCTCTATTTAATGTGTCTGGACAATTCCCAAGAAATGTTTTAGGGTAACATTGAGGGCCTGGGATCTGAGGGAGACACAGATATGTCAGACAGCCTGCTACTGCTCAGCTAAAAGTCTGTGCGTTGCCACAGTTATAAAACTGGGAACTTTCCCACCCAATAAAATGGTAGTTTTTATTGAGCTTTTTTCTTTTGAGTAAAATTTCCGGAAAATTAACCATCTGTTGTTATGCTAACCACTAGAGGGCAAAATAGTCACACTTTCTGGAACAGGTGTAATTCATTTTGAAAGTGGAATTGGTCTACATTTGATAAAGTTTTTCAGTAGAGGAGTCTAAAGAATGGAATTACGTCTCTAGGGTGAATACTGATCAGCAGAGAACCTTGCTAAAACTGCATCTTTCTGGGTTTTACTCAAGAATTTGTTTTTTCATGGCTTTCTGTGGGACATCAAAGAATTCTCCCTCACAAGTTTTAGATTTTATTTGAGAAGACACAGATTTTAATGTTTTGATGCCTGTTTGTCTTTTTAATTATTATAACAAATGGTTGTTTTAGAGGGAAAAAATAGGTTTAATTACAGGACCCAAAGTCTAGGGAAAATTAGAGCATTGTGTTAATTTAAAGGTCTTCCTTCTTCTCTCCTTCCCTTCCTTTCTTCCATTTTGTTTTCTGTTTGGGGGCCGCATCAGACTGCTCTGGGATCACTCCTGGTAGGCAGAAGCCCTCCCCACTGTATTATTCCTCTGGCCCCTTTCTGCCTGTCCTTGGCGTTTCTTTTGTTTCAGAGGAGCCTCTCCATGTAGAGTTAGAAGAGCTACTAGAAACAAGTTTAGTTTGGAGCTTCGTTAAATAAAAATCACTAATCTTCAGACCACAATTCTAAAACCATTTTTGTTCGTTTTGTTTTGCCACAGTGCTCAGGGTTTGCTCCTGGCTCTGTGCTCAAGGAATTACTCCTGGTGTTCTGTGAGATTCCTTATGTGGTGCCAGGGATCAGACTGGCCTCAGGCACTTGCAAGGCAAACACCTTCATGCCTGTACTGTGGCTTCTGCCACAATTATAAAACTTTTTTTTTTAATTAGCTTTCTCTTTTATGACTATCTCACAGTGAAACATAATGTTATCCGTTGGGTATCTTGGCACTGTGACATGTAGCTGTGTAGTAGAGTCTATGGAATCCTGTCATCATGTCTGTGCATTAGACATAGACAACATCCTTTCTGTCTAAAGAATCAACTGTTGCCAGGTGTACTGCCCTTCTAGGAAAGGAGATGGTTTTGTTCTTACCAGTGCCCCCAGAAAGCAGTGGCATTTGGGGCAAGTTTTGCCATTGCTCTTCATGGAAAGACTGTGCTAAAATGAATCTAACCTTTTGTCCCAGGAAAGGAAGACTTTTTTTTATCTATTGTACATACAATTATTTTCTGCTAATTACTAGTAGACCGACAGACCTTCACCCTTAAGGTTTTCTGGAGTCATTACCTGTCTTCAAGAATTCTTCAAGAATCTTCAAGATTCTTCTCTGATTATATATAAACTATAAAAAATTCCCTAACCTCCATTATATATACATGCATAGATAAGGAAATTATTTAAGTGCCCCCAAATATAGTTTTGTTTACTGTGTAGATGGGGAAATGCCTATTTCCAAAATTATTCTGCCTTTACTGTAAACATTAATTAGTAGATGCTTTAAAAGTCTCCGTTTTATTAATCTAACAATGCCCCAAATTCTGATACTGATATAAATTATTGTACTGAAGAGAAGAGTCCCAGTAGAGAGAAGTCTAAACGAAGTTTGGTTCCTTGAAAGTTCAGGACATTTCCAGTAATGTTACTCACTCGGGAGTCCTATTTATAGTGAGTATCTGGAGCAGATGATGAAATGAGAATTTGTGCATTATAACCATGGAACACTGGCCTCATGGTGTTAATTTTATTGCAGAGAATTACTCTGGAGATAAGAAATTGGATCCTTTAAAAATGAACGGACTAATAAATAGCCCAGAGCGTCTCGGGCTCTCTGACAGAGATGCCAGGAATAGATCTTACCCTCAGCACTCGGGCAGTCAGTGACAGTAGACCCTTGACTGCTCATCTCTGCCTCATTCTATTTCCTGTAGTGCCATGGAAACACGTTTTCTGTTTGTGCCGTTATGTGACAAAGGCTAAGAAGCATTGAAAGGCTTTAATTTCTTCTAGTTTCTGCTTACAACTCTATGATCAGTTAATCCTAAACATTGCATGCACTCTCTTTTTATCTAAAAAAAAAAAAAAACTCCTATGGTAGTGCGGTTGGTGCCTGTACTTTGAAAGACACGATAGAGCTCCTCCTAATGTCCTAGACCAAGGTGACCTAAAAATAAAAGTTTTAAAAAACATTAAGATCATCATGGGTTTCGTAATACAGTTGGGTCACTGCCGACTCCCAAGATAAATGTGTTTAAACAGAAGCTTTCTCATTCACCAGTGGCCTCAGATTTCATCCAAATTTATTTAATGATGATGCAAACCCCAGTGCCGGTGTTGCTGCTCATCGCCATGGAAGTGTTTCTGTCAACAATTCCTCACTTTGCCATCATGAAATTGATTTTGCAGGGGAAAAGGAGGATAATCGTGAAAGATTCCTTTTACTTCTGTAAATCTTCGGTTTGCCTGGGTATCTAAAGGAATTGTGTTTAGAGTAAGTAGCTAGCAATAAAGTGGACCTCAACAAATTAATAGTTCTAAGGCTGGAAGAGGGAAATGGCAATGAGCTGTTTCATCCAAAATCACCTTTGTGGAACTAAGTTGTGGAGGCCAGATTTTGTCATTTCAATAGTTTCTGTGGGACCAGGGAGATAACCTAGGGGTAAGGGGTACATGTGCTGAACTTGGATTTGATCCCCAGTACCACACAGCCATGCAAGCATCATAGGTACGGCTCTGGAAACTCCTGAGCTCCACAGGGGTGTTGCTGATGGACCCCATTATGACATGATTTGAGAAGCATCACATTAATGCTCACATTGGACAGCTGGACCAGTTGACCAGGCATTGCCACAGTGACCTCAGGCCCTCTGAGTACCACTTAGGGACCCCACCCCAGCTCTGCAAACAACAACAACAAAATGCTTCTCTGAAAGTTGTATTCTGGCGTGGAAGTTTTTTGATTTTTTTCTTTTTAAAATGTTCTCTATACCATGTGTCCCGTCTGGCTTTTACGTGATTATAGGACGAAATACAGTATAGGAGGTAAGATGCTTGCCTTGCATATGGCTGGCCCAGTTCAAGTCCCAGGCACCAGATACAGTCCATCAAGGACCACAGAGGATCACTTCTCACTATAAAGCCAGTATTAGCCCCTGAGCGTTCCAGGGTGTTTCCATGCCCCTCCCCCAAAGGGTGATGATAAAACACATTATTACAAGCCTCTGGATGTTTATAAACAAAATAGAAAGTACCTATTTTTGTTAATTCAAGAGTTTTGGCTCCCAAAATGAACAAGAATGACTTTTTTACCTTGAGGCAGGGAGTTTACGAGTATATTAACATAGTGACCAAAGATATGGAATGTAAACATGCATATTTAGGGGATTCTTTATCTTTAGTAGAAATACAGTGAACTGGCAGTTCAAAGAAACATTTATAAATAAGCTTTTGCTGACTTCCCATCACCTTTGAAAATGTTTCATTTTTACCATACCTCCTATATGCTCAAAAAGTTATTTGTTATCTTATTCAGTTCTTAGCAGTCAACCTTTATTAAGTTCCTAATATGCACTAACAAGCACGGTACTGGTCACCAAGATTACTGAGATACATCTTGAGCATGAAGTTAAATTTGTCCTGAGAGAACCTTTATTCACTTTGCCATGACAGACATAAATTTTTATTTGAACCATTTTCTCTGCTGTATGTGATAAGCAGTTGACTATAAATGGGACCAAATTACTTACATTCAGTGGAACTCTTTGTTTTAAAGGAATAATTAATAAACATGAACAGGAAATAAAATTCTATTGAACATGCAAAGATATAACAAACTGACTAAAAGAAAATTCAGCAAGCAGTGGTAAAAATAACAAAATATTTACTGTTTTATAATGTTAAAATATTTCACCAAGACAAGTTGCAGTCAAATTAATGTGAGTTATGGAAAATGAAACACATAAAGATGTATTTATACAAGTGCAGACTACATATTTTCCATACAGGCATGTAAATGAAAAGATATACAGTAAGTGCGCACTTGATATGACTATGCAGGCAACAGTTAGTTTCAAATAGTCTTGAATAGTTCATGCACAAACTTTCCCAAAGTTCAGTCAGTCTTTTGGGGGGGAGGATTTAGAGGGATAATTAAAAAGGACCAAGTTTCTTGCAAGAATATCAGTATGGACTGGATGGGTGAGGGTCATCAGTTATATATATTACTTACTGTAATTTGTGATTGTCGAGGAAGAGGTGTGGCTGTTGGTGTGATAGTAATACTGCTGGTTACTTTATTGGTCGTTTTGTTCAGTGCCCCATTAGATAAGCCTTGAGTTCGGCTGTCCTGCGGTGGTGTTGAAGGGCTGGCGGGTCTCACGGGGCTGGCTACAGCTTGCATGTAAGGGCTTCCTAAGTGAATGTGGATTTTATTATCCTCAGTAGTTATCACACTTGAATTATTACTGTTTGAACGTTGAAACTGCCATGATGACTGCCGCTCTGGAGAGACTCTGAAAATAGCATGCTTGGCGCTGATCTCTATTGGCTCTGGGGAGCGTCCCTGCTCCGGAGAGCTAGCTGAACCAGTCACAGCCAAAACCTGAATAGGTGACATTGTCCTTTCTGGTGTAACAGAACCACAGGACTCTGGGGTCTGTGCTCTGGCAAAGCTTGCCATAGTGATTGGGGACACACCTTGCTCTAAATTTATGAGGCCTTCTGCAGAGGTTTTGGATTTCACTGGTGTGATGGATGCGTTCTGGAGGATAGTTATCCTTTGCTTAGGGGTGCCACAGTTTGGAATCACGGCAGTGCTCGTGTAAGAGTGCGGACTCTCTGTGGTCGGGCTGGTAATTTCGAGGGTGGCCGTGTTTTGGAAATGGTCTGGAGTGACCTTTATATGAAGTGGCTGTCCAGGTGTGTGGCTTAGGACAAGATCACCAGGCTGAACAAAGTTGCCATTGGGTTTTGCTTGTACTTTTCCATTCTGCGGAGGGCCTTCCTTGGATTTCATCCAAGGAATCCACAACTTCCGGTTGGCTGGACAGGGAGTTGATGAATTGCACTTGAAGGACAGAATGGATTCCTCATCGTTAGGGTCCTCATCGTGATCCTCACCCTCCTCGTATGACTGACCATTGATGACTGCCTGTTCCAGGGGAATGAGACTCTTGTAATCAGGTGGCTCATTATCCACTGTTTCTGTCTGAACTTCTTTAGAAAACAGTTGCGGGTCAGAGGTTCTTCTTCCGTTCAGATTAGGCCGGAGGCTCATGCTGAAATGGCGGTACCTCTCTAACTCCTTGGTGAGGTTCTCAATCTCTCTTCCTAAATCTCGGTTCCTGTTTTCTTGTTGATTCAGCTTCTTCTGCAGAAGGGAATGATCTCCCTGGAGGTGACATATCAGGTTCTCAGTTGTCATGTACTCATGAATTTTCTCTTTGAGTGCATCCACTTCTCTTGAGAGGTGCCCAGATTTCGCTTCTTCTTCTTGGAGCCTTTTGAAGAGCCATTGCTCTTGACTGGATTCTGTCTTTTCTGCTAACTTGTACTTGGCCAGTTCCACTTTAACACGTTCCAGCTCTTCGGATAGAAATTGTGCTTTGTCTCGTTCACTAGCGTATCTGCGCTCTAGAGTCTCGTACTCGTCTTCTGTTTTCATGAGGTCGTCTTCAATGGCTTTCATATCCTTTAACTTCAGCTTCAGTTTTTCCACTTCCTGGGAGAGCTCTTTAATTTTATTGTTTTCTTGGTGTAATGTTGTTGTAGATTTACTGGAATCTTGATTCATTTTGTTTTTTAGGAAATCCTTCTCAGTCCCCTCCAAAGATTGAAGCCGATTTTTCAGCATATTGACTTTAGACAGGAGGTCGTTTCCTTTTTCTTCTTCCGCTTTCAGTTTGTTTTTCAGATCGTCTCTCTCCTTGGCGACACTGTACATTTTCTCTTCCACCTCAGTTTTGGACTTCAGTGCCCTTTTTGTTTCCTCAATTAACTTTTCAGTAACCGTGGTCACTTTGTTTTGCTCCACTTGGAGCTGAGAAGCAGCAGCTTGTAACTTATCTTCCGTTTGCTTTAGTTTCTCGCTCACGGTTTTCCGCTCGTCCACCAGCATCACAGTTAATGTTTTCAGTTTCGTTAAATCCTCTTTTAGGGCGAATTCCGTCTTTTCCAGCCGGCTTTCAGTGGCTTCTAGCTCTTTGAGCCTTCCTTTCAAACTCTCCAATTCTTGGGATAACTGTTTGCTCGTCATCCTCTCTTTCTCCAAATTGCATTTCAGAGAGTAGCATTCTTGTTTGCTTTTGGCATATGCGTCTTCTAATTTCTCCAGAGCCATCAACCTTTTATTGAGCCTCTCCACCTCCAGCTTCAAGTCTTTACTCTGCAGCGTTTCCTTCTCGAGCCGCCTGTTGAGGTCCCTGCACTGCTCCTCCATTTTTATGAGCTCTTCGTCCTTCCCTTCCATCTCCAGGACCCGCTTTCTGAGCTCCTCCACTTCGTCCAGGATGCTCGAGTTTCCATACTCCCCCTTGTTGATCTTCTCTTTGATATCTTGCAGCTCTTCTTCCGCTTTGCGCAAGGACCTGTTTGTCTCCTCTAACTCGTCGATTTGCCGACTGAGCGCGGCCAGCTTTTGCCGAAGCTGGCGATTTTGGCCATCCTCATTGGTGAGCTTCGCCATAATTGCCTCTTGGTTCTGGCGATGCTCTGTGGTCTGTCTCTGCAGTTCTCTCTCTAGTCTGGTTGCCTTCTGCTCCTCTTCCCGAACCCTGGCCTCAGCGCGGGCTAGTTTAGCATGTGTTTCCTGTGCGCTTGTGGTCAGGGCGCGGATTTTCTGTCTTTGAAGGGTAAGCTGCGCTGTCAGCCTTTGTTGCTCATCCACCACCATCAAAGCAAAAGACTTCAGTTTGGTCAGCTCATCTTTCAGGGCAGCTATCCTTTTCTCTTTTTCTTGCTCTTTCTTCTTCTGGAACTCAGCTTCCTGGTCGATTAGCTTCTTTAGTCTGAAAAATACAATAGTACAATCAGTCTTAGGAGTGGTGCTCTAGTAACCTCTCAAACATTTATGTAACTTAGATAATATCAATTCTATGTATCATTGCTGAATCTGATGTGGGGTGAGGACTCTTCATAAACTGATCTCTTGCTTTGTTGCCTCCAATTCCTTTCCGTCCTCCACTGATCATTGATTGATGACAGTTACAGTTCAGCAAGAACCCGAGTAGAAAAGTGAACGCAAAGAGCTTTGGTTTCAATGGCTCCTGTGACATATAATCAGGCAGTAGACCTCTAGCCTGAAGGAAGTGAAAACAGGCTCAAGCCGGACTAGGTTTTAAGATAGCCCTACTCTACCAGTTAATTAACTGGGGCAGTTACTTAACACTTCTGAACTTCAGTTTCTCTTGTGAAGAGGAGTCAGTCCTTGTATTCAGGGGCTGAGTGTGACAACCACGAGATAACTCAGTCAAGACTCTCACACAGCTGGCACACGGTCAGCATTTGATAAATGCCCGTTGTTGCTTTTCTCTCTTGTTAATGTGTTGGGGCCGGTTTGTTGGTTTGGTTTTTATTTATTTTCTCAGATGACTTGCTTAAACCATTGTAATCAGCGGTACATTCATGTTTCGTGTTCAGCGTTTCTAATTCTTAAAGGTTTTCTGATTCTTAACCTTGATATTACTTGCAAGGTGTTGCACACGTATTTTTATCCTCAAAGTGTTTGGTAGCTGAATAAAGGCATTTTAGAAAATTTAGAGAGGCATTTAAAATAATTTTGAGTTTTCATTTCATGGAAAAAACATGGAAATGGAATGGAAGGCCCTTGCTGATGAGAATCAAATGTTGGCAGACTTACCCGATATATACTGATTCCCACTTGTAATGATTCTCTTAGAACATATTGGGTTTTCCTTTTTTCCTTTCATGTTTTAAATTGTTGGCATAACAAGAGGGCATTTTACATGCAATATAAACTATCTCTTCCACACACTTTTTTTCCTTCAGTAGTGAGGTCATAGTTTTAAATTTGTGGCACTCTTAATTATACTGGGAATGGGCTGATTATAGAGGACATAATTACAGTTTTGTAGTATTGTTATACAGAAGCTAAAATAGAATGAAATCCCTGAAAAAACTGTACTCAAGAACTTGTCATGGGTGCAAGGTTAAAAATACTTATTTTCTGATCAAGAACAAAGAGTTCATAGTATTTTTACATACCTTTTTAAATTAGCAATGGGCTATTAATTATTAAATACATCTCTAGTCTATACACACACACACACACACACATATATGCTGAAAGTACTTAGGAGGACCTTTAAAAGGAATATAATTTGGGGCAGTCTTCTTGAAAATAAATAATCCATTTTGAGATCCTTTCTGTAATAACAGTACACCAAAATAATTGTATAATGTCAGAATTCCCAAAGATTTTGTGGGGAGGAGCCATATTTAGTGTTTTCTGTTCTGAGAACCCTCACAGGAGGTTGACCCAAGGGCTGTGGCCTGTGAAATTCTGAAGCAGTTGGGCGGGATGCTGGGGTGGGGTGGGGTGGGTGATGATCTCACCCACAGCCTTGGCAGGAGGCTTGCTGTAGCCTCTGGCCCTGTCCCACTCCCTGTCTGAAACACCTGGGAGCCTGAGATTGAAGCGTCGCCTTTCCTTCCTGAGTGGCCTACTCAGCCGAGTGGCAGAGTTATCGGTAGACTGGTTTGGTGTTGAAAAAGCTAAAGAAACTTTGGCAGAGTGCTTCTTCCTCCCACTTTAGTATTAAATTATAGATAATAATCTGCTGACCATTGCTGCAGATATTTTTTCTCCTCTCTCCATTATAGTTCTTAGAGGTTTTTTTTTTGGGGGGGGGTACACACCCAGCATTGCTCAGGGGTTCTTCCAGCTCTGCGTTCAGGAATGACTCCTGGCAGTGCTCGGGATACCATCTGGGATACCAGGGATGCAACTTCTTTTGACTGTGTGTAAGGCAAGCACCCTACCCATTGTACTCTCTTTCTGACCCCAGTTCTTAAGAGTTTTATTAGAGAACAGTTTCACAAAAATACTTTAGGGATTTCCTTGCAACATTTAAACTTAGTAAGTAAAGCTGTGTGTGCTATCTCTATATAATTTTCACGAGAAAGAAGTAGTTATTTGTATAAACATAAATATACATCATAGTGTATATGTGTCTATAAGGTTTAAGGCAGGGAAGATTGTTTTGCAGTGCGTTGAGAAGAACATTAAAACCAAATGGTGATTAGTTAGTCTCAGTGGTATCAGAACGAGCAAAAGATTTTTTAGAGAAATTTCCATTGTTTCCAGGCCGGAATGTTAGTACAGCAGATTGGGCATTTGCCTTTCCTACGGCCCACCTGGGTTTGATCCTGGGCATCCTGTAAGGTTCCCTGAACACTGCTGGATCTGACCCCAAAACAAAAAAAAAAAAAACCAAAGAAACAAAAGAAGTTTCCATTGTTTCCAGTAGATGCACTGTTTTCACTGGAGGCCATGAAGCATCTTTATCAATATAGCTCATGTATCTTTTTAATGATTCTTGGAAATGGCTGGTAACCTCATTTGTTCCTAAGCCCTGTCACTGACAATTTGAACACAGTTGCTCTCAGCAATTCCTTACTACGTGTTTCTTAATAACCTGCTATTTTTCTGGGCCACTCCCTTAAGCATACAGTCAACTGGCTGACTAGTCAGGTAAAGCCTGTCAGGGAAGAAAGTTGGACCATTTGAAGACTGAAGTTTGAGGTTAGTCTGTGATCTTGAAGAAAGGCATTTCTTGGCAAAGTTACCTTTGCCAAGATAACTTAGAGGACTTGATGGTGCAGATCTGACCTGTCATACACAAGACCTAGACAAGGGAAATGAATGGTCATACTTCAAAGTACTAATGCGGGCATACATTTATGTAGCTGTGTAAACATATATGCATGTGTAGAATTAACTTTATACATATTATGTGCGTACAGAAATGCTTTCGGTAGATGTTTGCAGACGATGTTCAACTGTATTTTTGTCAGTTGAAGTTCACAATAATTTTCTCAATTGCCGAGGCCAAATGTTTTGAAAATTCTAGAATTTTCGATTTTAGTAAGGCAGTAAGGTACTTCCATTGTTTATTATATAACAGCTCTAGTCCCTAAGATCTATGACATCACCTTCCAAGTAAGCCTCTGAATATGTAGGCACTGAACCACGTGAATAATTACATTGTGGGATAATTAGGATAAAAAAGCCTCACAGCTATTCAGGTTTTGCTGCCATAATTTGGCAAAAACTTTGCCTGCAAGAGTTTTCAGATACTGAAAGCCGCAGACAAGTGGTTCAGGACTTACCACAATGACTGTATGGACTGCTGGTGTCTTAGATGAGGAAGGCGTGCCTCAGTTATTCTTTACATATTAGCAGGCTTTGCCGACTTAGACACTAGTACAGATTTTATCACTGTCTGGATTTACTATAAAAAGCAGGTAAATGATTTTGAGAGTTTTCCAAGGGTACTTCAGAATCTTGAAAACATGTTTTTTGGGGTGGGGTGGGGTGGGGTTGGGGGTGGGAGGGTTCACACTTGGTGGCAGTGCTCAGGGGTTACTCCTGACTCTGCACTCAGGAATCACTCCTAGCAGTATTCAAGGGACCATATGGGATGCTTGGTATAAAACCCAGGTTGGCCGCGTGCAAAGCAGTTGCCCTACTTGCTGTACTATTGCTCCAGCTCCAAAACATAGTTCTTGAGATGCCACCAGATATGAAGTTCATTCCCTCAAGGCCAGATAATCAAATTATTTTTAGCCTCTTCCTATGCCCCCCCTCCCGATCAACGAATATTCCAGTTGTATACCTTTAGGCAGAGCAATTTGTATGATTTATGCTGTTTTCTCCAGTCTCAGGACTGTGAGGTCGGATGAGTCTTTGGGGAGTAATCTGCTTTGTAAGATTTTAGCAGCATCCTTTGTAGTCTATATTCACAAAATGTGGGTCACAACTGTCTTCTCTCCAATTGTAACAACTAAATATTTATTTATTTATTGCTTTTTGGGTCACACCTGGCAACGCACAGGGGTTATACTCCTGGCCTTACACTCAGGAATTACTCCTGGCAGTGCTCAGGGGACCATATAGGATGCTGGGAATCGAGCTCAGGTCAGCCGCGTGCAAGGCAAATGGCCTATCTGCTGTGCTATCGCTCTAGCCCCAATGTCTTTTAACTTTGCTTAAGATCACTTTGGTGACAGTGATGAGGCCAGGAGGGATGATGTATTTGCCTGTAGTTAAGAAGCACTATGTGTGTAAATGGATTATGTGTATCCTTCTGTTTAGAAGTTAGTTCCATTTCCCATCATCCTGCATTACCCATCTTTGAACAGGTGCAACAGCACATTCCCAGGCACGCCTGGTGATTTTATCTTCCCTCTCAAAGGCCTATTCTTTAATAGTGCTTCTTAGTTTAGGGTGCATTTGACTCACTTGAAAATCTTGTTAAATTACAGATTCTGATTCAGTAACTTGGGATGGGCCTGAAATTTTGTATTACAGCGACATTCTAGGCAGTGCCAAGCCAGACTGTGGATAGCAGGCTTTTATTAATTATATGTCAGACATCTTCTGAAAACAATATTTTGGCTTAATACTAACTCAGCCAATTATTTGTTATTCTATCCCAGTTTGTGTACATAGTCTGTATCCCTAACTTACAGGTATTTCCAGTTTTTTCCACTTAAATATCTAAGTTAGTTAAAATTACTGCAATAAAATTACTCTGGAATCCTGTTAGGGATGATGCCAGTACCTAAATTTTTATCTCAAATAGATAGTAAATAATTTTAATTTCAGTTTGTAATTTTCTTTATATAGCCCAAACACTAAAATATAGACGACAGCATAATAGCTACCATTCTTTAGTACTAATGATGTGCTGTTAAGCATTGAGCTAAGTCTGTCTAATTATTGGTTCCAGTTCTCATGATAAGTGTTCAGAATTTGGGACTATCT